TCTCTGTCTCTCTCGCTCGCTCTCTCTATCTCCTCTGACCCTCCGTAGAAGAACTAAAGCAACACCCTGCAGAACACAGATAAGTCCTAGATTCACCAACCCTCACCCCTCCCCAAGAAGAAAAAAACATATTATAGTGTGATATAAAATCAAGGATTCATTACTTGCCTCTTTCATTCATTCTTTCATCGATTCATATTCAGCCTCTAAGCTGTCTGTCCACTCAAGAATCCAACAGTCTATGAATGACGTATTTCCTTCTTTCCTTCCTGTCTTACTCCCTTCCTTCCTTCCTCCCTTCCTTCCTTTCTTTGATTCTTCCTTCCTTCTTTTTTCCGTCGACCTTCCTCCCTTTATACGCCTCGTAATACACTGAAATACAATATTCAAAAGTCAGTTTATTGTTTTGCTCATCCAGCGATCCGGACGCATATCATTTCATTAATCTGAGTTCTTTTTCCATTCATCTACAATCCCACCCCACTCCATCTCCACCCATAACTAACCCAAACCAATCTAATGTATGTCGAATTAGAAGTCTCCTTGGCTCCTTCTTATTGCTGTCTTTTAGCCACACCCCTGATTTTATGGTAGGCAAAATCTACTCTTTAGTCATCTCGGATAAGGGCGAAAAATCTCGAAGGTCTCGTGTGCAAGTAGCTGAGCACGTTAAAGATCTATTGATGGTCCAAAATCGATAAGAATAAGCTTTGGACGCCACCCGGGCAAAATGCAAAATTATCTACCAACTGAAAATGTTTGGTGTGTCCCAGGCGCTCATATGACCTTATGCAGTTGTTAGCGCCGTAAAACACTTACCACAAAAAAGTGGAAGTAAACCATCAATCATGAAATCACACTTCACAATCACATTTGCAACCTCCGCAGCATCCGCCCTTCCTACGAGCCACTCCAACAACACCCAATGGTGAATGACGACATGCCAAACCGGATTATCTGTGGTGCAATTTTGCTCAAAGCCGACGTAAAAACCTTCACCGAGACCGGCGTGGAGTTCGTGGATGGAACCTCGGTGCAAGACATTGATGTGGTTGTCTTGGCAACTGGATATTCTTTTGGATTTCCCTTCATAGATAAAGAGGTGATGATTTGTTGTATGGAAAGTCTTTCCCTAAACTTCAAATCGACCATTATGGGAACAAAAACATTATTAAAATATAATCAGTAGACAAGTAAATTTGAATGAAACAAAATTTAATGTAGACATGAAACAATCCTAAGCTTTAACCAAACTCTATGAATTGCAAAATGAGTCTATCAGTGGAGTATTTTTCTCTTGATTGGCAGTAGCAACGAACACCACCTCACATCAATAGCAACAAGAACAACAATAAAAATAGCAGTAGAAAAGTAACAGCAATAACAAACAAAACACCCAGAAACATTACCACCAACCGTCACAGAAATGCTAATGACGACGACTACAACGACCGCCA